TCGAAAGAAAAACATCTACAGGGTGTTTTTTAAATTCTATTATTCATGATTCTGTTATAGCACAGGCTATATCATAATGTATTACATTTATTAAAAAATTAAGATTTTCTACACAAATGAAAGTTTGGTATATAGCAAAAAAATTGTGATTTCTTTATCATATTTTCAAAATGGCCTCCGTTCTCTTTGGCCCGCAAACTGGTTCTGGAGCGGAAGTTGTCTGCTGCTCTGAGCAGTGTAGGGTTTCCAAATTTTTGTTCAATCTCTTTTGCGAAAAGCTCGTTCAGCCAATGAAAATGTGAACAAAAACTAAAATTGTCGTTCATTTTCGCGAAAATTTTGGTTAAAATTTTTTCTCAACAATCCCTCAAAATTTTCGCAAAATTCGTTTAAAATTTTCGCGAAATTCGTTCGAAATTCGAAATTGGTTGAAAAAATGCCTTCAGTCAGAATTGATAGGTCAAATAGCCCTTTTACTGAAGAGGAGAAAATCTGGATTATTCTAGAATATGGAAAACTTCGAAATAAGGTTCACCGAGCCTTTAGTTTATGCAGTTATTGCTCAACCTGCTACTGCTGAAGAGCTTAAAATGATTGTGGAAAAGTTTGCTGTTTCCCTGCAGCCTGCAGAAATCATAAAGTGTGTCAGTCACATAAGAGATCGCGCCAGAGCCTGTATATCAGTAAATGGAGCATGGTTACGAGTCACAGCTACACTAACTTAGAAAAGTTCATGTGAATAGCGGTTTTACTAAAAACGTAAATGTCTCGATCTAGTTTAACTAATAGTATATTTATTGCAAGCTTATCAGGTTGTTTTACTTAAAGTATAAGCAAATCAAAAATATCAGTTGTAGAGAAACACCCTGTATTTTAGTTACCTCATTATTAGTTACCAAAATGTAAGTTACCAAAATGTTAGTTACTAAATAATTAGTTACCAAAAATCCACCCATTTTAAATATTTCTATTTCTATTCGATATCACGTTTACAACATTATGTTGTAAAGGAATGAATTTTAAAAATTTTGTTTTTTTTCTACTGAAATTTAATTATCATGCAGTAAAATTTAATTATCATGTACAAGTTCATCATAATTATATTTTTAGAGCCAAAAAATGTGCATCTAACAACCAACTCAAATTTTCATGGGGTAATATCAGAATTTTGACAATTACCATCTTCAAAAAAAAGTTTATTGATAAAATAACCGTGCAATTTTGAAATTTGTGTATCTTGGGGATAAAAAGTGCAAAGTTTAACGAAACAGTTTGCAAAATACGAAAGAAAATGTTCGCGAACTTTCGCATTGAACATTTTTATTCGCAGAGGACATTTTTAAGGAAAAAGAGGACATTTTTTTAGGAAAAAGAGGACATTTTTTTAGGAAAAAGAGGACATATTTTAGGAAAAAGTGGACATATATTAGGAAAAAGTGGACATATTTTAGGAAAAAACTTGAATTTAGATAAAGGGTTTCCAGGACAGGCAAATTTGGTGTTTACTTCTGCTTCTAAATTAAAGTCTTTTAGACACTTCATAACTTAACAGTAAACAATATTTAAAAACAAAATTCTTAAATAAAGGATAAAATAGACTGTCTCGCTCTTTTGTCGCCCCCAATTAAAGGTTTTAAAATTTTTTAAATAATCTTTTTTTAGATTCTGGACGAAAAAGAAAAGATAAAGAGGGGAAAGAAGAGAGAAGGGAGAGAGAAGATGAGGAGAGGAAGAAAATTAGAACAACATTTACTGGGAAGCAAATATTTGAATTGGAACAAACTTTTGAGACGAAGAAATATTTGTCATCTTCTGAACGATCAGAGATGGCAGCACAGCTTAATGTCACACAACAGCAAGTAAGGAGGCATTTCTGAACTATAAACATACAGGGTGTCCCTATAAATAAGGGAGTTTAGTGAGGACTTCGTGACAACAGTACAGTATAGTTCGCAATCCAACAAATAAACAAAGAAATTCCTTCATTAAAGTTTTCCTTGTGTGTTTTATATATACTAAATCAACAAATATTATTGGGACATCTTAATTACGTCTTTATCTTTGCAACCCATTGTTGTAGACCTAAAATATTTCAAACTATGGAATTCTGTTATCAAAGGTTTGCACCAATCGAGCTTCTATAAATTACAATGAGCCTTTGATAAACAACAAGGGTCTTTGAAAATATACATAGTGCGTCTGATGAATAAAAAGTTATTTAATTTTATTCAATATGAGAAGTCTCTGTTAAATATGAGAGACTTCAAATCAATTTGGGATCCGATGAAAAGCAGGGTTTGAGAGAGGTCACCAATAAGTGTTTTCCAATATATGAAACATGAAGTTTTAACAACTGTTTAATTTGTTGAATTTAAAATTTTTAATTTTAATCAGGAGGTCATTGATAAAATATGTGTGGCATGGCCCGTGTACTAGAATCTCCCTAGTTGATTTGGTGTACTGTATCTCTTTGCTTTATTTAGTCCGTATGTGTTCTGTACAGCTTGCTCTAGCTGATTAAAAGTCAGCCGGGTACTTGAAATAATGGGAGGTTTACGATTAAAGGGAGTGTTTGCGAAAATTGAAAGGGGTTAAGGCTAACGTCGAATTGATGGTGATCGCTATAAATCTTACTTCTATCTGTTGCGCCTAAAGAGAAAATGGGTAAATATGACTCATACCGGTAAGATTATTAGCGATCACCATCGAATTTGATTTGACGTTAGCCTATATCCCCTTTCATTTTTCGCGAACACTCACTTTTAAGTCTCCAATGAAAAGCAAAACGCCATCAATGAAAAGGAAGGAGGTACATTTGATAATGGTGATTGTTTTATGCACTCTAATTTAAATATAATTTTTTTAGGTAAAGATTTGGTTTCAAAACCGACGCACTAAATGGAAAAAGATTGAGAATATAACAAATGCTGAAGCAGCATTTATCATGAAGAACAAAAACTACAAACCCTCCAAACTTAAGGTACACTTTTTGTAGTTTAAAACATCTTATTTTGTATGTCTTAAAGGGACTGTAAAGGAAAAATGAAAGGGGGTATAGGCTGAAACCTGCAGAATCTCAAGAGTTGATTGAGACATATAAGAGTTTTAACTGATGTTCCCGTTTCAAGAAATTGATATAAAACAGTGTCAAAATTATACCAAAACGTATAAATGTAAGATTTGTATAAGATTCGTAGTATTAAACAGATCATATTCAACAAATACGCAACCAATCTGAAAACAAGAATATCCTAGAGGAGCCTGAGAAACTCAAATTTGCTCCTATTATTATTTGAATTTAATAATTTTTCATTTTTAATAGATACAATTTATAATATTATTTATGCATTCGGAGAATGTCATCAGAACTCCAACCAATGGTAGTGCAGTATTATTGACACATGTCTCCGTTTGTATGATATGACCAGGTGACCAGTATACTGAAATGCTATTGGAGGAAGTTTTCTTACATATATACGTTTGGGTATAATTTCGACGCAGTTTTATGTCAATTTCTCTAGACAGGAACATCAGATATATATCTTATAGGTATCGTAAACTCCAGAGATTCTCAGGTTTCAGCCTTTACCCCCTTTCATTCTTCCTTTACAGTCCCTTTAAAGGCACTGAGGAAATAAACTCAAGTGACCCTCCATTTAAAAAATAATATGTTCAACTCATAAACCTTTAGACCACTATTTGAGTACTAGCTTGGAAACCCTGCTTTGCCTGGAGAATTCATTATAACAGTCAACCCACTCTATTAGAGCATTCCTGTTGTCCTATCAAGTTTTCTTAATTACTTTACTTAACGATTTAAAAAAACCTTTTTTATTTTAAAACAGTTTAAATTCTGGCAATTTCTTTCACAGTTCTCTGCAGCCTAAATTTGCATTGTATCATTATCAATCAATTTTCATCCTTGATTAGAAAAGGTTCAAGGGATCCCGTTGTTAATCAGCGATGTTGTTTAATAGAAATGCATCTACATGTAAGATTGAATCATATAAGAATAAGAAATAAAAAGTTCTTTTGATATTTTTCAAATGTTAGCAGTACCAGGAGTACCAGCACAGAGTGGATCCCAATGCATTTTGTTCACTTTAGAAATACGTTATCGGGTTTTAGATGTATTCTAATTTATATTCAGTATTCTGCCTTTCCCACTATTAAAACAAAAAGTAGATTACCATTGCATAGCTGAGACACTGTGGGTCTGTCCTAGGAGCGGGGGAAAGCAGGCAGCCATGAGCCACCACTATTTCCCCTTCAGTGCCACATATTAGCTTTTTGACTGAGTATTGCATCTTGAAATATCACAAAGTTGGTTAATGAGTAATTTTAAGATGGATTTAGTATAATGAGTCAGTAATTGAATAATCATTAGACTTTGTGATATTTTAAGATGCAATACTCAGTCAAATTTGTCAAAAATTTCATTGTAAAACAGTTTAAGATTAATTGAATTAATCTTAAGTAGAATTGAAAAAGTCTTAATCTGTATGCCCTTGTCTGTTCTTGCGATCTTGTATATTCAAATGATTGATGCAAAAATCCTGAAAAGGCAAGCAAGTTCTAAGAAATAATCTCTGTCCATTTAATCCGGATTTTTTAATTTAAAATTTAAAATTGATAATTTTATTCTATTATATAAATTCTTTATTCCTCTTTGTTATGGAGAACAGCAGTTTAAACAGGAGACGTAGTAGTAGACTCATTTGCATGCTTCTCCCTGCTAGCTGGTTCCCCTGACCAACAGAGATCTTTAGAACTACCTCCAACTGCACTCATTATCCAACTAGACAGCTTCTTCAGTCTAAACTAATATATCATTTAATCTAAATTAAAATGCTGAAAATTGTAATGGTGTTTTATCATAATTTTACACCTTGCGTAATGTGTTGGGTTGTTTAGTCCTCCACATTTTCCCAGTACGCCTCTGCCCCCACTCACAGCTCCTATGATAAATGACAAATCAAAAATCTATATGATTAAGCTATTTGCTCCTTTATATATGTTATGAAATGGAAAATACTATTTCTAATTTTAAAAATATTTTTAAAAACTTTAAATAGTATTGGATGTTATCGAAGGCATGATATAATTCTTTTAAAGTTGATTTTCAAATTTCAATCTTTAAGATGCATCATAATTCTTTTGTGGGGTGGCGTGGAGAGTGTGTGACACCAGTTCTCGTTAGATCACTGAAGTTAAGCACACTTGTCCACAGCTAGTAACTGGATTGGTGTCCAGGCTGGTGTTCACGGGTTCGATTCCCGTACTCCACACAAACCTGTGGTTTCAAAAACATCTGAAGCCGACATCTGGTTTAGCAGTTATGACCACCTGACGGATGTAGGAGAAACCCTCTTCTCAGAATGAATGAAGCGTGGATGGATGAATGTGCTGCCAGATTACAACCCCTGGTAGATCAATATAAAAACCCAGACAACACCAAACTTTCGCAATAGAAAAAATTCCGAGATTTGATCGTAACAACCCGATCATGTCCTGGGGACAAAAAAATCTCTTATAAAAAAATAATTCTTTCAAATTACAGTTATCCCATTCGCCCCTTTTTTGCCAATATGATCATAATCTCTTTTAGTTTTAGACTTTACAATTTCTATCACTACCAAAGTTAGCCATATTAAATATGTAACTCCTGCAGTATTTATTATTCTCATAATAAAATTTTCTTGGTTGGCTTGTTTATAAAACTATTTACCTAAGACTATAAATTTTCCTGATTTTTCATCTTTGACAAAAACAGGTCCACCTAATATAAGACTTTTACAAATATTTATTCAATAACTTAATTAACTTAAAAATTTCTTTTTTACTTTAGCTATACATATATTTAACTGAAGCTGATTAATTTAATCATTCTGCTGTGTTAAAACAAAATTCCCATGCCCACATATTTTTTAGGTTTGGTAACGCTTAATTTGAAGCAATTTAGTTGTAGTACTTGAACACAAAAACTACCACCTACCAGAATCACCATTGCAAGTTCCCGCAGAGGTTACATAAGATTTCTTGGCTAGAAAAAGAAAAAAGTAATAAACTGATATCAGCTTTAATATGTTACACTATTATTACTGCTTTTACCTGTATCAGTCTTTTCAATTTTATTATTGTCAGATATTGTGTATGTTTTTTCCTCCTGAGATTTTTGAAATCCAATACAGAGAATTTCAGGCTGAATCTTAACCACACTTCCATATAAAGAACTTTCCAAAAATTCATTGCAGAGTTTATCACTGAGAACATCCACATGTCTAACTTCACGTAGCACATTGGCATCAGGTTCAATTTGTTTAGTTTCATTGAGAAAACAATCCTTACTGCAGAATCCCCAAGTATCTGTGGTAGTAAGTTCTCCCATTGTTGAGGCATCATCTATAACAGGACACCATCCCTTGGAGCCTTCTGAAATGGACTTGTTTCTGTAGCAGAAGGTTTCATTTTTATTTAAACTAATCAAGGTTATCTTGGTCAAATTCTTATTATCAAAATCTAATAGCTTGTCAGGGTTTTTGGTGAAAAATTTAGAACATTCAGGTTCCTGAGGAGGTTTCTCCTCCTTTTTACAGGGCACTTCAGCACAGTAGAGATCATTTGCTGGTCCTAGATCATCTGTTTTACATGGTTCCCTGTAGTATTTTCCAAATCCAGCTAGCACTACATTTTCAGAATTATTAAACCCAGGCCCTATACCAGAATCCTTGAAATCTTCTGAAGGAAGACAAGCAACTTCCTTTTGGGATGGTTTTGATAATCGAACAAGTGTGATATCAATCCCTCCAAATTCTCCATATGTTCCTCCTCCCCTATAGCTGTTCTTGTGACGAATGAAATATTCAATGGGAATTTTCTCTCCCTTCTCAAGGTCTACCTTCTTATTCACATCATCAACGCCAAGGTAGGCAAGGGGTTGCTTCACAGGAAATATCTTATAGTCCCCATTATTAAATTGTTCACACTTCATTTCATGACCTTTCCTAAACAAGAGAAAAGAGTTTAAGAACTTCTTTAAATTAATCTTATTTCTTGTCAAAGATTGCTGTTCAAATATTTGGGTTGTTGACCACTTGGTACCTGTTAACATGAACTGTTCCATTAGCAGTTTGCTCCACACATTTAGTCAAGTTCTTAGTATCTACTAGAGCAAGTATACAGTGTGCTGCACTTACCACCCAATCCTTTGCTATCAGAGATCCTACAACAGTTATCAAGATATATGAGAAGCAGTCCTGAGTTAGATTGCTCAGGATTGATTCTGAGGTACAAATTCAATTGATAACTGGGAAATTAAGATAGGGAATGAGACTCAATTTTGTTATAAAAATTCTGTTGGTTTAAACCGAAAACATATATGGGATCTACATGGAACATTGAACATTGAACCAAAGAACAATTGCCTACAAGCTTGGTGATTTGTTAATAGTCCAAAATCCAATCTTCTGATCTCTTGCTGCAATGTACGAGAAAATAGGAGTTGTAATTCTCAATTATCTAAGTAATGTTATTTTTTGTGACTTATTCTAACTTTGCCACTTTTTAGAATCACTAAATGTAATATCTATCTCATATTTAAGTTTATGATTTTAATTTTACCATCATGCTTTTAATCAATTGACCTGTACACGATGTAAAATCCTTCTTGTTCTTGGGTAAAGTAGAATACCCGACTAGGAATGGATAGTTAGAGGTCTGTGCTCTTGAAGCCCCCACTAGGCGCATACCCTGATCACTCTTAATCTCATGGACAGCATTATCATCATATTCATAATCAGCCTAAATTATGTCCTTGACAACCTCTAACTAATAATCAGATATTATAAAAACAGGTATATGTAGCTCTTGAATATGATTAACAAACACTGTAAAAGAAATTACAGGTTTTGATGTGGGTATAAGAATTATAAAATTATAAAATTATAAAAACTTTGCGGATATATACTTTGTTTGAAGATTTGAAAAACCTCTGCAAATCATAATCAGTTGGCATAAAAATGCAATTTGTTAAAAAGTAGCTCTTGGACCATAGATATATTCATGTAAATAATCTTAATAAATGGGCAAAACCTAATAAATAAGTTGTTATAGCATGCAGTCTTGTTTCAATTAAAAAATAACAAATGGACCTTTGTCAACTTTTTACTGAAATGACATCTATATCAGATAAAAAAGATATAATGAGTTAGTTAAAAATCTTTAGAAACAGGCTTCTTACCCAGCAAAAAAGCTATTCTAAATTGAATTTGTGTATCTTTTTCATGTGAAAAAATTAATCTTAAATGAATTTTATAAAGAAGAGAAAAGTTAAACAATTATCTATATAAAAACCTTATTAGAATTAATTGTTTGTGCAATAACACAGAAAAATAACACCACCAAAGATTGTTTCATTTTCACTTGATTCACTTTTAAAATCTTGGTGTATTACATCTTTACTTTCTTCTTCATACATGGCAGTATGAAATATGAGAAGTTTCACATTTAAGAAGAAAATTACCTTTTAAATTAATCTCAATATTTTAATTGAAATCTAAACGATAAAGTTGCCAATTGACAGACATATTAAAGGCAAGATTGTAAAAAATACAGAAGGGGTCTAGGATGAATTATATTTAAATTGAATAATGATTAACTCCTCTTACTGAAGATCTAAATGAAAAGATTAAAAATGTTTTGAATTGTTTGCTGATTCAAAAAAGTTAATTGTTCGAGTGCTATTTGTATTGAACCCCAAATATAAAAATCTAATTTAATTCTGGTTTAAGGAACTATTGCTCTAATTTCAAAATAATCCTTCATTTGCATAGTTATATGCATGCCAATTTTGTTTTAACCAAAGAGAATAGAATTTATATTAGAGTAGAATTTAGACAATCCTTCGGTTTGAATTTTTTCAGTCCCTTTCAGCCTGAAAGGGAGTTGAAAGTGTACAAATCATGTAAATGTTCACAAATTATATGCAGTAGAGTACATTAATACAGTATGTTCCCTAGACTATCCATTTCAATTTCGAATTTTTAAGCTGTACTTTATAAAATGAGGTGAATAAAAAACATCATTTAATTTGTAGTTATAACGGAAAATCATCGTTTGTAAAGTGAAACGCATATCGTCTATGTAAAATTATCATTGTTCAATTATGAAACCAGCCTATTTAATAATTTGGTTTTCTTTCAATATTAATTTTAGATTTTCTATAAAATGATATTCCAGGGCCTAAAAGGTCATATAGCACAAATATGTGAAGTACATCTGCAGTACAACAAAATGACCGTTTTACACTTTTTTCTAGTAAATTCCACTCTAATATTTATTCTATTCTCTTTGGTTTTAACCATCTATCAGATTGAAAAGGAGTAAGACATCTTTGTTTTAGATTTAAATTCATAAATCTGCATAATTATACAACAAGTTATCAATGTCCAGACAGTAAAAAGGTATATCTCGAGTATGTTTGCTAGAAAAATCCTTTATGAAAACTGAATTGCGCATTCATTGGGGAGGGTAAGGTGTCCACGAATAACCAATTTTTGAAAATAGATGCACTTGGTAGCTTTTCCATTGCTTTGTGTACTGGGAGCAATAATTTAAATTATTAGCTCAATATCTCTAAAACTATATACTATAATAGTTTGAAAAAGCCCTGCATACGAATGCTTAAGAACAACTAATTTATTAATCCTTGTGTTGTGCAAAAAACATGTCAGAGTCATACTGCGTAAACTATAAAAATTAATAATAAATAATAATCCTCTTCTACAAGCTAAGTTAAAAAAGGCCCTAAAAACTAAATTTTTTTCTAACTTTCTTAACCTGTTCTTTAAACTTTGGAGGCGATTATCAAATTAAATTTAAAATTTCAGGAATTACTCACAGTATGCAGTGTAATGGGAAAAGTTACAAGCAAAGTATATATAAATTTTGATGTGGTATTTCAGGTTGAAAGCTTCCATGATTCTGATTACCGAGGATATGACCCAAGAATAGGATTACCAAGCACTGGTGAAACCACATGCCCTACTTATCCGGAGGAAGACATGCATCTTATACAAACATCTTCCAACCATTCCAGGTAAAGTTTTATGAATAATTAATTTGGTAAAAGCCGGTACATTTGGAACAGTGTAGGTAGGGACATTCCAACTTTTTCAAGCCATTTCGTTAACCGTTAAAGTTCCAACTGTTTTTAGAATAAAATCTCAGGTAGCTGTTAGTTTTAGAGGGTAAGAACAAAACTTTGTTTTGTTAATGGTATTTTCTGTTATTTTTAAAAGTTACCGTTAGTTAATGGTCTAAATTTTACTAATGGAAAATGTTCAACTATTATTACAGAATTAACAGTCTACTACAGTTTTAACGGCATTAACGTTGTGAAGCACTGAAAAAAAAAATTTATAACATCAACACATGTAAAAAAAATTTCATTTTTTTAAGTTATATGCAATATTAAACAAAAAAAATTCACCATTTTAAAAAAACGTTTCGCTTTTTTAAAATTGTTATTTTTTTTTAACAAGAACAACTAATCTGTTTTGTTAGCATTTTAAAAATTAATGGCGTTCACTGTTAGTTAGTGGACTCTTTCGTTTATTTTTGAAAACCTCCATTTACGGCCCTGCTGGGATTTTTTAATTAAATAGAAAGACCAATACCAGTAATTGCTCCCCTATTCGTTATTAACAGAATAGGGTGTCAAAATAAACATTCGAAGTGAGTGACTTGATTTGTTACTCATTTCCCATGTTTATTGAGACACCCTGCATAAATTTCACTAGAGATCATTTATTTGACGCACTGTTCCGGTTTGCCTTATATGATCTATTTATTTATTTGACGCACTGCACTATTCCGGTTTGCCTTCACAGGTCTATTATTGTTCTGTACAGCTTGCTTTGGCTTAATTATAGTCGGCTTTGAACTTCAAATGAACCGGTGCTTAGCGCTTACAGTGCCTATATTACCAAGCATATTATTCTCAGGGAGACGTTTGAAGAATCAGGAGGTTCAGCTGAGTTTCGGGGGTCTTTTGACTCTGTAGATTCCAGCCATTTCCAGCAGAGCTTTGACGACGAGATGGAAGAGAAGGTTCTAGTTATAGATCAAGAAAAACATGAAATCTAAATGCCATTCTGAGTGCACACAGTCAGGAACTTATGATTTGAAGGCACAAGATAAAATAATTTCTAAATATCCTCAGTACAATCGTTGCACTATCCAAACCAGTACAAGGATTTACCAGACTAGTGCAAATCATACTGCTTACACATTTACTGGTACCAGCCTGTCTAGTGTACCCAGTCTGTATTTGACCCAGCGTGTTGCATGCACCTAATGTATATATTTGAAATCTGGAGTTACGCGAATTGCGTTGTATTTGAGCTACGGAATCAAAATAATATGCGTTTTGGCAACTTACGCAATGTGGATGGCAATGAGTAAGCTGGTAAAATCAATATGTTCTGTCATTGGTTAAAATTTTAGTTTTAAACTAATGAGAGGTCGGAAAAATTTTAAATCTGGCCAATCAGAAGCTAGTTGTTGAAATTAATCCTTCCTACTGAACTCCACCTAATTTTAAAGTTCCTGACTGTCGACTGAGCATTTAGGGGCATTTTAAAAGGTTGTGTACTGAAGTTTAGGACACAGTACAGAAGACTGTAAAAATAACATGTTTTGATTCAACAGTTGTGCTAAAATGGTCTTAATAATAAGGAAAATTTGACAAGGAGTCAGAAGACTGTATAATTTAATGTTTCTAAATTGCAGATTATGCTTCACATTTGTTTTGCACAAAATACGTAAAAAAACTTTTTTACCATGCACAGTAATTAATGAAGATCGTGCACAGGATTTGTAATGGGGAGGAGGTTTCGCCCCCCCCCCTCATATGTGCTCGCTCTTCAAGTCAGCTATTCCATCCTGAATGTTTATGTACACTATACAGCTAGTCTAAAACTATGTACCGTTCTGTATTAAATACAAATCCGAAGAAGAAGGAACCAGGAATTACATAAAAAAATCTTTTTGTAAAATTTTTTTACGGAACAAAATTTAGTTTTATTAAATTTAGTTGGAATTTATTTTCGTTCCTCTGTTCATCTTCACATATAGCTTTTAATGTTTAATTCAGTACTGAAGTCAGAATTTTTGTGTTTTGAATCTTGGGATGAAGCTTAGATCTCCATCTTTTGAATTAATTTGATTCCTCTTTGATATCTAGTGATGTGATCATTAATATAATCTAACTGAGGGATCAAGCATTCATCCTTAAATTCAAAAGTACTCACGTTGAAAATCTTGATCATATGTTTAAAAATTTCTGACCTTTGAACATAATTGTTTTACTGTTTACTGTTTACTGTTTACTGTTTACAGTTTACTGTTAACTGTTTATGCCCTAAATAAACAAAAAGAAGTAAATTGTATACAGTTTTAAAACTGTTTCTATTTAATAAATTTGTGAGTCTCAAAAATAAATGTTGTCAAAAAGAACTCAAAATGGAGAAACTTAACTGTAAAGGAGAGGGTTATATTTACAATAATATATTGTATTAGTATTAACTATATGTATAATAAATAACTGTTGATTTGTTAGTGGATTTTTTTTTATGGGGGTTAAAGGGACTTTTGATGTAATTTAAAATGACCTTTATTTACAGATTGTCATGTGAATTGCGGATTTACATAGGAGACAATTGCAAGAAAAGTGTTCCATATTCAAGACAATTGAAAGAAAAGTGTTCCATAGTCAAGACCTGCGCCATTCTTTTCATAAAGTTACTCAAATATATGTTTATAAAGGGCACAGTGTCAATCAGAAATGCCACTCTTTTTAAAAATGGTCACTTTAAATATTTTATCTACAATCCCTCATTTGTGGCACGGAAGGGGAAATAGTGGTGGCTCATGGCCGCCTGTCTTCCCCCGCTCATCAGAGAACTTTAGAATTGGATACCTTTTATTCCGATTGCTTAACCTGTATATCCACTGTGGACACTTTTGATTTTTGCTTAATTTGCTATTTTTCTCATTTTTTCTGATCAATAACAGTTCTGTTATTGATTGCGATCCAAAATTTCAAATTTTCTCGCCTTCTGATTGGCTGTTCGGGTTTCTCAAAACGCCCCTCTGTTTGGTTGAATTATAAACACTTTTCTGGATACAAAATAAAGATTAAATTAATTTTGAGATTAATAAAAAGATGAGATCATGCATTGATGTCAATATCCACAATTCTAAAGTTTTCAGTTCAGCATATAAATCAATACAAAATCATTTATTGAGATGATGATTTAATACAGAGGCTGACATAACTTATTTTTTTTAACATTTATTTTTAAATTAAATGTTTTTTACACAAAATTTGAAAAACAGCAGTTAATTTTTCTCTAAATGTTGTATCTTCTTTTTAGCTGATCATACATTTGTTTTCTGTTCCTTTCTTTTAGATCTACGCATTCTAATCCCTTGTAGACAAGAGAAAAATACCTTTTGACACATATTTCTGCTTTTCTTTCTCTCTAATATTACGCATATTACTATTTGTTTTCCATACAGAGATGTCAAATTTCTCTGACAAGTTATGTTGAGGAATGATGATGTAGCTTTTTCATCCAGCTGTTGCTCATGCTTATTATATATATTCTTACAGGTTGGAAAATAAAAGTCACTGCTAAGCTGGGTTTGAAATTTCTTAGGATCCATTGTCAGAATTTCGCATTAATAATGACAAATGAGATAAGAAAGGTTAGGCAAGGAGTGGATATTTTCGACAAAAGAATTCTTAATTCTTGTAAGTTCATCTAGGACAGTACTTCAGAATAAAGCCTTGTCTACAGTAATCTTTTCCTTGCAGCAGAGATTAAACTAGTATCATAGTGGTACACAACCTAGCTGACATAAATTATAAAACAGTATCTTGTACACTAAAATACAGAGTGGCATAGATCTGTGATTTTATATATATGCTGACCCTGTAGTTTACGTTATAACTTTAAATCATCTATTATGTAATTTGTTGAAGTTTGCAATAAAGTTTGCAATTCTAAAAAAATGGAAACACGATTGTTGCCATAAGTTAGTTTTTACTTTGGTTCCTACATAATTTTTGGACCATTTTTGGGTATATTATTTAATATTTCTTCAGTCAGGGTCAACATTTGACATAGCGTAAGAAGAGCAAATGTTTAAAATGAACAATTTTCTCTTCTTTTACTATGCCAAAATTTTAACTCTAAAAGAAAACATTTATTTTATTTATTATTTTCTCATTTTTACCAATCTAAAAATATTTACTTAACTTATAAACATTTTTTAAGTTTCCGAAAAATGAATGAAAACAAATTTAAATATCTAAATAGCAACAGGGAGGGGGGGGGGGCCAAGGATTGACGAAAGGATGAATATATAAATTAAAGGGACTGTAAGCGTAATTTCAATTGACCCTCCATGCAAAGAGGGCAATTCCTATAGAACCTGGTGTGCGCTGCGTACAGTGTGAATGTTTCCCTCTTAAAATTACTGAATATTTTCCGTTAAAAGAGGTTTAAAAAAATTCGAAAGATTTTATTTATTTTCTGCCCCATCTAGAAAGAGAATATTAATATTTCTGAATTATAAAACAATTAAAAGTGTTTCTGAAAATTAACAAGGATAAGTCCTTCATCGGTCAAAGGTTTTAATAGATAGATAGATAGGTGGGTGGGTACGTACCACATTAAGCCTACTTACAAAAAGTCTCATCAATTTTTAAGACAGGGTCGACTTTGAAGTGTCGCAACAACTTGGGCTTTTATTTTACCGCTTAACTCACTTATGCTTTTCTGTAGCCCTCTACATGTACATGTTAGAACTATAAAGCACTTAGCTTTGGTTTTAAGGAAGTAATTGGCAAATTCTCATCGATTTTTGCTTGAGAGCTCGAGACCTTTATATGGATAGGATGGATAGTATGGATAGGATGGATAGGATGGATAGGATGGATGGGATGAATAGGATGGATAGGATGGATAGGACATGGATAGGATGGATAGGATGGATAGGATGGATAGGATGGATAGGATGGTGGATAGTATTGATTAGATGGATGGATAGATAGATGAAAAGTAGGATAAATCTGTATGTTTACACTATAATACACACTTCAGTATTGTGTCTCTGCAATGCGGTCTATAATGAGTAGGAGGAGGAGGAAATATAGATAGATATACAGATAGATAGATAGAAAAATAGCTACATAAAAAAGATAGAAATATAGATAAAAATCGGAATTTCTTGATTAATTGATTGGTTGATTGAAGAGTTGAACGTCGTCTTTGACCTTTAAAATAGTTTGCAGCATTCATTTGGCAACCAAATTTTACCAATACTTTTTTGAAACGATAATCACAAAATAACCCTAGTCCTGCCATTTTCAAAATGTGGTCTGTCTTCTTAAGCTTTTTACAGGAGATATGAATAATTTTGTTCAGAATCAGACCAAAAAAAAAGTTTATTGGATTTTCGAGCAAATAATTTATGTCCCAACTAGACTAAAATTGGTTATATACTGAATCATCAAATAACACGTTAAAACCTGTTCATTACAGTTTCTTACTATTTCACATTTTTAAACGAATTGTGTTATGGTGTATATCTAACATGGTTGAGAGAAAGATCTTGAAATAACTTTCAATGTATGGTTAAACTGAGAAAAGTTCAAAATTAAAATTAAAACAACTTTTTTTCGTTTTTTTTTCTGAAAATGTACATGTATAGATCTATCTCAAAATTAGATTAATAAGGCAAATATTCTTTTTAGCAGAAAAAATAATTGGATTTTTACCATAGATATATTTCATTATCATTAATAATAATTACTATTAACGAACTGATCAATGGTGAATTAGGGAAAAATTTGGATAAAATAACCTTTAAATATGTGAAACTATTTTGAAACTTGATAATTAGTTTGAATTGTTTCATCAATCGGACTCCAATTCAGCTGACTAATTTTTATTTACATTACAGAGTATTTGACAACGTTTTGACAATGTGTGCCCCCCCCCTCCCCCCCCCTTAAGGGTGTATTTGGGGGTTAAGCATAAGGGGGTGAATTTTTGGCGAATTTGTATTAGTTCACCCCCTTGTAGTCGTTGTTCATCCCTCTGAAAACGGTATTAAGAAAGAAATAGAGATTTTGTAAATAAGATTAAAGAATAATTGAATAATTGATAAAACATTATAAATTGGACAAATTGTCCATTTAAGGGTTAGGGGGGCTTAGGGTTAGGGGGGGTTGGGGTTCTCGCCCCCCTCTCATCGGTATACAGTATAGATTACATATATACATATATATAATATACTCTTTGGCCCTCTGAAAAAATCAACGGTTTTAGTTTACTTTTGAAGATCGTCTTTGATATTTAAAATAAGTTGAAGCATAGAGTAGTTAACCTAATTTTCAAAGTATATATAGTAACTGTCTGTAAATTATGATAGTAGCACTCTATATTAAACAGAAGGGGGGATGGTCTAATTTATGCGAAATATTTAGTATGACCTAGTGACCTCGAAGCTCCTCTAGTATAGATGTTTTTAATAAGGTTATTATCCGATTACATATTAAAAATGCTATACTTTATATAACCTTACAATTGGTAACAAGACTTTCAAGAAATAAAAATGAAATTACAATCTTTTTTATTTTGTTATGTAGATATGTTAGATTTATGTAAATATATAATCTTTTTTTAAGTAGTATATATATATATTATACTATATGTTTATCCACCTAGAAACATTACAATTACACTGTATACGTGTACACTCTTTATTTTAATCTCTCTCTCTCTCTCAAATATAGTTTATCATTATTTGAGAAATAAGTAAAAGCATAGTTATCTCTGAAGCAGGGGTGTACAAAGAAATTTGTCCGGGGGTGGGGTCCTGGGGGGTTGGGCGCTGAATTCTGGAATTCATAGATTAAATTTATCTAGGGGGCCTTGAGGGGATTTACCCCCATCCTCCCCCTGTGTACACCCCTGTCTCTCTGTACAAATTCATTCTGGGGATTAAATCTCAAATACTGTAAATACTCTGATAATTTTTAATTTTAGGAGTATTTTCATATTTGTATCCAAAAACTAGGCCGTCCTTCTTGTACCCCCCATGCTACAAAATGTCTCCTCTCCTACTACAAAATGATTCCTAACACAAACTATATTTACATTATAACAATACAAATGATTAGTGTCGGACCAACTAAAGTTGATCTAAATTCACATGATATTCACCTGCACTCAATTCCGTCCAAATTTCTTGCGTTTGTGTCTCAAATTTTTGAGAAAATTCAATTTAAACCTAATGGAACGCAATAAATACAATTAA